AATTTTTCTTGTTGCTGTTAGTTTTTTTTTCTTATTGTTTATTTTATGGGAGTTATTTTTTATTATTATTTTTTATTCATCATCGTCCACAGTTTCTCTCGATGTCTCTTTCTATTCATGCACTTTTCGTCTCCAACCCCCTGTACTTTACCCTACCCCTCCTCCCCCACACTCTCTACCTCCTTCCGCTCCTCTACTTCTCCCCCCCTCTACTCCTCCCCCTCCCCCCTTCTCCACTCCATCTTAACCTACCCTCTCTTTTCCTCTCCCCTTCCCTCCCCTCTCTATTCCTCTCCCTTCTCCTCCCCTCTCTATTCCTCTCCCCTTCTCCTCCCCTCTCTATTCCTCTCCCCTCCCCCCCCTCTCTATTCCTCTCCCCTCCCCCCCTCTCTATTCCTCTCCCCTCCCCCCCTCTCTATTCCTCTCCCCTCCCCCCCTCTCTATTCCTCTCCCCTCCCCCCCCTCTCTATTCCTCTCCCCTCCCCCCCTCTCTATGCCTCTCCTTCTCCTCTCCCCCTCCCCTCCCCTCCCCTCCCCCCTCCCCTCCCCCCTCCCCTCCCCTCCCCTCCCCCCTCCCCCCTCCCCTCCTAATTCACCCCATCCCCTCCTAACTCCTCGCCTTCTCCCTTCTCTCCCCTCCCTCCCTCCCTCCCTCAGTGCCTCCCCTCCTCCTTCCCCCCACTTACTAACGCCCCCTCCCCTCTTGCTAATCCCACTCTTCCTAACTCCCTTTTTATCCAACTACTCGCCTCCTTCCTTCCCCTCTCCTCCTAACTACTCGCCTCCTTCCTTCCCCTCTCCTCCTAACTACTCGCCTCCTTTCCCCTCTTCCCTCCTAACTCCTCCATTCCTAACTACTCCCCCCTCCCCCCCTCCCCATCCACTTCCTTATGCGCCTCCATCTTGGCCCCCTTCCAGCGCCGCCTCCTGCTGGTGTGGATGTCGTTATGAATGTCCTTTTGAGGTTGAGCCGGAGGGTGTTGTCATGCTGGCTTTGGCTGAGGGATGTGGTGGTGGTGGAAGAGGTGGTGGAGGGTGGTGGTTGGTGGTGGTGGATGAGGTGTTGGTGGTGGAAGAGGTGGTGGAGGGATGTAGTGGTGGATGAGGTGTTGGAGGGATGTAGTGGTGGATGAGGTGTTGGAGGGATGTAGTGGTGGATGAGGTGTTGGAGGGATGTAGTGGTGGATGAGGTGTTGGAGGGATGTAGTGGTGGATGAGGTGGTGGTGGTGGAAGCAGTGGTAGTGGTAGAAAAGGAGGTAGTGGTGGAAAAGGAGGTGGAGGGATGTGGTGGTGGTGGAGGAATGCGGTGGTGGTGGAGTTGTTGTTGCTAACGGTAGTGGAGATGGTGGTGATTGTGGAGGATCCGTGTTGTTTTCGTTGGTGATGGTATTGGTGGCGGTGGTGGTGGTGGTGAAGGAGCAACACAGGAAAAGTAGGGGTATTATTCACAACAAAAGTTCTGTTTTAATGTGATTTTAAATATTGATTTGCAAGGAAACCGTAATTGTTGTTAAAAGCCATTGTAACTGTTTTGGTTGTTTCATTTGCTGTTGATGTTGCAGACTTAATGTTGCAGTTCTTGTATATTTTTTTGTCAAATACATCAATCATTTACTCATATTGATGTATATATGTATGTGTCCATAGTGCCAGTGTGTGTATAACGTGTATATGTACATGGATATAAGGGAGAGAGGAGGAAAGAGGTGGGAGGGTGGAGGAATGATGTAGGAGGTAGGAGGTGAAGGAGGAAAGGAAGGAAAGAAGTGACAGGAAGAAGGGTGTAAGTTAGGAATAAAGGAAGGGAGGAAGGACAATGTAGGAGGGGGGAAAGGGAGGAGGAGAGAGGTGGAGAATAGGAGGGAGGGAGGGAGAGAGGGAGGAGAGGGGAGGGAGGGGGGAAGGCAGGGAGAGTGAAGGCGGTTTGCACAAACGATGGAATGTGTCATGAGTAATATGAGGAGGGGGGCAAGGTGATGGAGGAGGGAGAGGAAGGTGGGGGAGTAGGAAGAGGAAGAGGAAGGGGAAGGAGAAGAGAAAGGGGATAAACAGGAAGAACAGAAGGAGGAGAAGGCGGGGGAGGAGGAGGAGGAAGAGAGTCACGGGAGGGAAAGGAGGGGTACGAGGAGAATGAAGAAAATACAGAAATTAAGAAATAGATATGAGAGGGGAGAGAAGGAATAGACATCTACTGCCGCCACTACTTACAAAAGAAAGTATTTTGAGGGAATCATCTAATTTATGAGCATTTTTTTCGTTTGTCTTTGTATTCTTTTGGGAGAATCGTGTATCTTGTGGTTATTTTTATTACTAACTTCATTATTATTTATATATTGCTGTATTATTTGGTATAGTCTTGGGTGAGATCATCACTATTATTTAATATTTTTGTTATTTTTCACATTAATGTTACCTTTGATATTTTATTATAGTTTAATAGTTTATTAGCTATATTTCTCTGAGACATTTCTGATGTTGTACTATTAATGCTGTTGTTACTATTACTGTTTTATTGTCATCATTCTTATTTTATGTACGTTTGTTTTATTTTTATTTGTTTATTATTTTTTGTTATTGATACTCTTATGATTTCCATTTTTAGGTGTTATCTTACTTTATTTGTTTTATTATTGTTATTATTATTGTTACTGTTATTACTATCATTATCATCGTGATTGTCATTGTTATTGTGATTGTTAAATATAAATGCTGTATTTTTTATGTTCTGTTTTCTTTAGTGTTTGATTTATTTTATTTGTTTAATACATAGAGCTGTAATTCCTAATAATATTAGCCCATATCGCAATAGGAATATATTAAAAGAAACCATTTAAGTGCATTCCAGTTTCCGCTGACGGGAAAAAAATCGGATAATAATAGAAAATAGTAAAACGAGATGGATGTGTTTTGTTTCAATGTCGCGCACGAGGTGTTTATTTTCTATCAAAGGTTGGTGAGGTTAGTCGGCAGAAACCGCTTATTCTGCCTGTTGTCTTTCTTGTTTCTTTTTTCCACTTTTACTTCACTTATTTGTGTTTTGTTTTTCTCGATGGTGATAGTTGCAATTATTACCATCATTATTAATCCTCGTTATCATCATCATCGTCCTCCTTCACCACCTCCAACATCACTTTCTCTCTCTCTCTCTCTCTCTCTCTCTCTCTCTCTCTCTCTCTCTCTCTCTCTCTCTCTCTCTCTCTCTCTCTCTCTCTCTCTCTCTCTCTATCTCCCCCTCTCTCTCTATCTCCCCCTCTCTCTCTATCTCCCCCTCTCTCTCTATCTCCCCCTCTCTCTCTATCTCCCCCTCTCTCTCTCTCTCTCTCTCTCTATCTCCCCCTCTCTCTCTCTCTCTCTCTATCTCCCCCTCTCTCTCTCTCTATCTCCCCCCCTCTCTCTCTCTCTCTATCTCCCCCCCCTCTCTCTCTCTCTCTATCTCCCCCCCCTCTCTCTCTCTCTCTATCTCCCCCTCTCTCTCTCTCTCTCCCTCTCCCTCTCCCTCTCCCTCTCCCTCTCCCTCTCCCTCTCCCTCTCCCTCACCCTCACCCTCACCCCCCCTCTCTCTCTCTCTCTCTCTCTCTCTCTCTCTCTCTCTCTCTCTCTCTCTCTCTCTCTCTCTCTCTCTCTCTCTCTCTCTCTCTCTCTCTCCCCCTCCCCCTCCCCCGGCATCTTGTACACTGTGCCACGTGGAGTGAGTGCCTACTGTGCGTGGTGCGTGTAGTGCCCAGGTGGACGAGGCAAAGTGTGTGGTTCTTGAGGTTTACTTTGGCACGGCTTTTTGTATTATCGTTTTAGGGGCACTTTATACCTGTTTTTTTTTTCTACTTTGTTTTTGCTTTGATTCTTTATATGTATGTTGAATCGTCGTCGGAGAGAAGAAAATGTGATGATTATTATTATTTATTTACGTTTTTTTTTTCAAACTGCCTTTCCGTCTTTTTTCTTAAACCTTATACTGATAGTTTGTCGTGTGTCTTTTCTTAGAAACCTTGGAAGACTTTACATATTTTACCCCTTTCCTTTGTGTCTTGAGGATTTCCATTGTCAAAGGAAGAAAGGTGAAGTGACTTCCGAAAGTTAAATTATTTTCAAAATCAAAGGAAGATCAGTAGGTTGTGATTCTCGGAAAGAGATTATATCCACTTGTTTTTTTTCTATTGTATTTACTCTTTTTTTCGTTTACATCTTTTGATATTTTTTTCCTTAATGGTATTTGTGGTGGACGCATTTTTGATAATGTTCATTATTGCTATTATTATTATTATTACTATTATTGCTGTTTATTTTCATCGTTGTTGTTGTTTTTGACTTATTTTATTATTATGAACTTTTAAGTGCAGTTCTATAAGTACGAGATTGTGGATAAACAACAGCGGTTAATTTTTTATTTTATTTTTTTTATTTTACATATTTATTACATGAAATTGATCCTAGTACAATAAAATATCATCCTACCCTCTCCCTCCCCTACCCCCTCCTCCCCTCCCCCCCCAACTGGCCATGGTCATTTATCGGAAAGTCTGTTGCTCTCATTTCCCTTCTCTTTATTTATTTTTTTCCTAATCTACGTATTTACAAAACAATCCCCATTCGTCAGAGCAATTTAACCCTTATCGGCTTCCTCTCCACTTGTTTTTAGCGCCGTCACTCTCCCTTTCCTCCACTTTGGGTTTCTCTGTCTCACTCTCCCTCCTTGCTTCCCTTCTTTCTCTTCATTTCCCCCCTATCTCCCTCTTTCACTCCCTCACTTTCCCTCCTCCCCCCTACCTCAACTTCCCTTCCCCCCTCTCCTTTTTTTTCCCTCCCCCCCTTCTTCTCCCCATTCTTTCCTCCCTCCTTTCATCTCCCCTTTCCTCCCTTCCCCCCTTCATCTCCCCTTTCTCTCCTCCCTCCCTCCCTTCATCTCTCCTATCTTCCCTTCCTCCCTCCTTTACCTTCCCTCCCTTCATCTCCCCTTTCTTTCCTTCCTCCCTCCTTTACCTTCCCTCCCTCCCCTCTCCTTTCTTTCCTCCCCCCTCCCCCCTCCTCCCCCCCAGCTACCGATCCCACTCCTCGATCTCGAAGAGCACGCGCTGGATCTTCATCTTGGCGAGCGACTTGGCCTTCGCCGAGAGCTTCCTGATGGCGGCGGCGACGTAGCTGCCGAAGAGCTCCTCCTCCTCGTGCGGGACGAAGACCTGGGGCGGAAGTGCTGGGGCTCTGCGGGGGGGTTTAGCGTCCTCGTGGGGGTGGGTGGGGGGCGGGGTTCTCACGGGGTTGGGGGTGGGGAAGAGGAGGGAGTCGCTGGCTATGGTGAGTCTGGTGGTGGAGGGCGAGGGGGAGGAGGAAGAGGAGGAGGGCGGCGTCCCTGGGGAGTGGACGGGCGTGTGGTGGCGGCGCCGCTTTCCTGAAGGGGGCGGGAAAGGCGGGGGTGAGAATGAGTGTATAGGAGTATTTATGCATATGTTTGTATTTTGTAATTTCTCTCTCTCTCTCTCTCTCTCTCTCTCTCTCTCTCTCTCTCTCTCTCTCTCTCTCTCTCTCTCTCTCTCTCTCTCTCTCTCTCTCTCTCTCTCTCTCCTCCCCCCCTCCCTCCCCTTCCCTTCCTCCCTCCCTCCCTCTCCTTTTCCTTCCTCCCTCCCTTTCTCCTTCTTCCCCTGCCTCTCTCCCTTTCTCCTTCTTCCCCTTCCTCCCTCCCTTAATCCCTCCTTTCCTTCCTTCCTCCTTCCCTCCCTTAATCCCTCCTTTCCTTCCTCCCCTCTTCCTCCCTTCCTCCTCCCTCTCTCTTCTTTCCCTTCCTCCCCCCCCCCTCTCTCCTCTTTTCCCTTCCTCCCACCCCCTCCTCTCTCCTCCTT